CGGCAAACTTTTTAGCAGGGCCTGTTGCGACACAACAAGGGGGAATGGCTTTAAACTAAAGGGGGGTAGATTTAGACTAGCTATAAGGAAGAAATTTTTTACACTGAGGGTGGTGAAGCACTGGCACAGGTTGCCCAGAGAGGTGGTGGATGCCCCATCCCTGGAAACGAATATTCAAGGTCAGGTTGGACGGGGCTCCAAGCAACCTGATCTGGTTGAAGATGTCCCTGCCCACAGCAGGCGGGTTGGACTAGATGACCTTTAGAGCTCCCTTCCAACCCAAACTATTCTATGATTCTATGATTCTAATTACAAATTTTAGGTACTAAAGCATCAGGATGTTCAAAAACATAACCACACACAGATTAGGGAAAATTTTAGTATACTAAAATAAACGCATCATTGCTGAATCTGACATTCACTTTCTAAAACATTAACTGACTGAACTGCACATGTTGAAATAGGTTGAGAGCAGACTTTGGATGCTGTAAAGCCAGTATCTATCCAGTTTCATAATTTTACAAGCCATTTGATATCAGAGCACGTCACAGCCCTCTACCTGCAACTATTAACTACTGCACATGACCTCAACATTTCAGCCTAAGAATCCACTAGTATCATTATTGGCAAACAACAGATCAGCACTAAGGAAAGTAACTTGTTTACAGTTAACAATAGGTAATCCTAGAGCTTACAGAAGATGAAGATGCTCAGATGTATATATTACATAAAATCAGAGTACACCTTCAAGGCAAGTGGAGGAGATCCAGTGACTAATCAATAAAGAATTAAACTTGATGCTAGTGATAAAACAGCTTACTCAGTAATATAGAGGAAGAACTTCAAAGGACAGAAATTAAGTGAAGAAAATAACATTTAACAGCAAACTGGGGTAGCCCATAGTCCCTGGAAAGGAGAATTTATACATTAGAAGTTCTTGGAAGAGGATCATTCCCTTTAAATACTAATACAAGCTTAAAATTTCCAAAAATAATCCCAGAAAATGTTTCAGCAGGAACACATTGTTATAGAACATTTTTCTAGTGACCTCTCAGCCATACTATTCCAGCTGCTCTTACTTGGCAACACAATGTTATCACCTCTCACCGCTTTGCTGTAAAAGCAAATTATTATCAAATATTATTTTTAATGTGTTTCTAAAGTAGGAAATAGGTCCTAAACTAATTTTTACAACACTAGTAGAAGCACCAATGATTTATAGGTTTCTGAAACATAAATACAGATGTTTGCATGCATGTGTGTGTACGTATACAGGTACATATAGACACATAGACAGGTAACATTTAAAAAGGGCAAAATCTTCTCTCAGATATAAAGGGAATGGAAACACTGCAGTACGTGATTTTAAACCAAAAATAAAATGACACAACTAGCACAAAACCACCAAGTTATTTGCTACAGAAAGAAAAATAATAGTTTTACTGTGTATTGTTATTGAATAAAAGAATAAATTAAAACTAAATACAGTTTTCTCATTTGCATTTTCTGTAGGAATATTCTTGCTCCCTGCAGCAAGGGTACTTACCTAATACATAAGAAAAAGGCAATATTTTTTACCAGAGAACCAACTCTCTTTGAAGAAGCCTCAAATCAAGCAATTCATAAAGCAAGTGTAGTTTATTCTTCAAAACAAATTATGCAAAGATAAAACATTTCTATTTAAGTAATTTATTTCTTATGTATTCACTCATAACTGCTTAGTTGAACACACAGAAAAAAAGATTTCTCTATCAATCCTGTGTAATAATTGGGAGACAAAATGCAATTCTTTTTCTGCTTCATGCATAAATCAATACATTATTGTTCTTTCTTCAGGACCATCTGTGCAACACCACTAACTTCAAATTATTCATAGGCTCTAAGGCCAGAGGGGACCAGCGTATCATTGATATGATCTCTTAGACATTATAAGACATTTAAATTTCAGCAATTACTCAGAACTGAGCACAGTAACTTTTGTTCTCAGTAACACCTGTATAACCCCATTCAAGGGGGGGCAGGGTAACGTTAAGCTGCAACTGAATGCTTTTTGCCTGTCAAACTAGCCCCTTCCTACTTTCCCTCACCCCAGCCCAAATTAAATACTTTATTTTGAACAGAGCTGTAAAGCTAGATGTTTTTTAAAATAAGATTTACAAACCACACAAAGTTGATAAGAACCTGATGAAGTGTACTGACTTCATGATTCTGACAATGCCAATCCTATGAAGTTATTCTTTGCACAAACCTTACTAAAAAAGCAGCTGTATCAGTCCCCAGGATCATACACTGCTTATCTAAGGATTCTGAGGGAAAGGAAGCGGTGGATAGATATAAGAAACAATTAATGATCCTGAAACCTAAAAAGCCAGATATCTGACATCATTTAAAAAAAAAAACAAAACAACCAACCAACCAAACAAACAAACAGAAGAGCCAGAGGAGTTGCTGGGAACTCACCTCACATTGGAGCAGAGAAAACAGACTAAGAATTCTAATTAGGGACAGATTACCACAACACTTGAATAAACATACTGTGATAAAACCAATACAGTTTACTATGAGTAAAAATTCTCCAAGTTCACAGGTTTTTGGGGTTTTAAGAAAAAAAAAATAATAGAAAATAGGCATGAATTAATGGAAGGCTCCCTACAGATAGTCCAAACGCTTCTGATATGCCTCCTTAAAAATACTGAAGGAAACAAACAAGATAATATTGTTACACATCAGTTGATGAAGACTGAGCCAGGATTTCAAGGATTAGAAAAGCTGGCTATAAAGGATTTTAGGAATCAGTACTATGTCTGTATTATTTAACAGTCTGGTGAAGAAGAGGATATTAACTTACTTAAAGTTCACTGTCTCCAAAACTTTTCAGAAAGAGCTATGCTGCCTGCGACCATCAAAATGGATCCCAGCTGTGCAACAGCAGTTTAGGAGAACCAATTATTTGGTGCACTGTCATCACACCTTTAAACTTCTTAATGTTATGGCTTCAGCTAATTATGTTAATTGCTTGTCACATCATCATAAAAGAGTAACCAAGACTGAAAAGATTCAAGGAATAACAAGATACACATTGAAACATTTTGCATTTGCATCCAGTAATCTATTGCCACGCAAGAACTACCTTTTCCCTTTCAAGAACAGATGAATCGGATTAGTTCAACTCTAGCTTCTTTTCTTCAGTCCCTCTTATCCCACCTTGCAATATTACAATAAGAAATGCTAAAAACTAGAAAACAGACCTAAAAATATGAGGAAGCTATGGCACTTGGCATTGTTAATCTGCAAGATTAGTAACCATAGATTATTTGAATAGTGTTAAATTTGCAATAATTTAAATTCATTAAGAAAAGCCAAATTTCACTCTTCATATCATTTTACTGATTCATCAGAAATTTATAATGTGAAAACATGTTTTTCTCTGAAATAAATTACTCATTACTGGTAAATTCCAGATACCAAAATCATGTGGATTTTCAATTTCCTCAAGTCTTTTTTTCCTCCTCCCCTTCTTCCATTAAATTAAAAGCTGATCCTAACACATTCACAACAGATACAGCTATAATAAAAAATAAATAAATAAAAATTGGAAATAGGAAAGCTCTACTAAAGACAACCGATCTCTACACGATTCAGAAAAAAGCCAGTATACCTTAAGATATTTGGATGTGAGAGTCTATTCATAAGTTGAACCTCTTTCAGCATGTTTGCCCTGTTGCTGTTCAGTGTGTTCATCTTCAAAGCCATTACCTGGTCTGAAGTTCTGTGCCTTACCTATAGGATACAAGCAAAAAATGGTAAGGATATGAAATGCAAGACTGAAAAAACAGTAATGTTGTAGTACAACTTAGAGATCCTTCATGACAAACAACTTGATCTATACTCTGATTTCTGTAGTCTTTATCACACAGATGACTTTCTATACGCATACTACCCAAATGTGAAAAGGTATTTTGCTCTTCTCTTGCAACTGGTGATGACAGAAAGCTTACGAAGTTGAAAAAAAAAAATTATCAACTTCTTAGTACAAGTGAAGGAAGCCACTTACTTGTCCAGGGAGAGAAAGTTTCCTACTCCAAGACCTATGAAACTCATCTTCGTTCCACCCATATCCCTCTTCTTTTCCCACTACAGTGGTTGGTGTCATTGTTCCACTGAATGTGTTATGAGAGGACCTGCTGGTTGCAGCTACAGGGCAGAGTCCAGAGGTATTCAATGTTTACTTCTGAACCAAGACCACGAACCAGATTGTACATTCAGTGGACAGAAAGCATTCATACCAACCCTGCTGCAAAGCAGAGAGGTTACTGGACACAGTATTACCTAGCCTAGGATGTTCAGTAGTGGCTGCAGAGTGTCAGCATGAAAAAGAGGATTTCTCTAGCAACTGCGCAGAACCAGCACACCATTCAGAGTTACCTTCCTCAGTCAGAAATGCATGATTTCTAAATTGATACTCTCAAACTAGCCTATTTGTCATCAGCAAACAGACCAATGTTATGTAGATGTGTGCTACTATCAGAAAGGAGTTGTCACGATAGTGCAAGACTTGCCAAGCCTTAGAATGCCCTTGCAGTTGGGCATTCCCACATGCATATCAGTAGTATTCATGGAAATTGCTTTCCCATTATTTTCTTCCTACATCAGTACCTGCAGCTCATAAACAGAAAATGTGTACTTCTCAAAGCACTGAACTACCACCATGGCAAACTCATTCATGTTTACGGAGATTAGAAAAAGTTTAGAAAAGTCTGTGATGCAAGAATTTAAGACTCTCATCAGCTTTCTAATTTAAAATAGAAATCTACATTATGATGTAGGTACATACAAACTACCTATATTTTAAACAATGGCAGCCTGCCTCCTTTTATTCCAGGAGACTCTGCTCACCTTTTCCAATAAAAGGCTTCTTTAGCTGTGATACATGAGTTACAGAAAGAACAGCTGAACTCATGATAAGCAGATGCAACAAGAAAGCTGGGTATGTTTTTTGGAGGTGAGGCTCACTGGTAGGTCTGAGGCAGCAAGTGATACCCATTTTCAAGGTTTATTTGCACACCGTATCTTCAAGAACAAGGGGCATACTTCAGCTAAACATTCTCACCTAAACACAAAGCACCGTGAATTCAGCACAGGGATGTACTAGGAGGAAAGGGTATCATGTTTCCGATGCGTGCCTGGCTTAACGCCTCCGAGTTGCCTATTCCCATCCTAGTTTGAAGTATAGGGTACCACTGGAAACACCACAGTTAAGTGTGGTAAACAACATCGAGGAACTGAGTGAGTAGAAAAATAGCCCACAGATGCTTTTTCTCCTGCTTTCCCCCCCGCCCATGAGCTCCTCAGCTGCCTCACCCACAGTCACCCAGTAATCCCAGTGCAAGAAGGATCAGAGAAAGGAGGTGGAGAAGTATATAGAAACCAGCACTGAAAACCAACAGCAAGTTCATAAGCATGGGGCTCCTCATTTCAGTGGCAATACTGGCTTTAAAATAAAACTGGTCGAACTACAGCTTTAGTGCATTGTAAAATAATCTAGAATCCTTCTGCACGTAACCTGTCTTGCCTGTTTGGCATGCTTATTGGTTTTAAGCGGGATGATTGCATGTTAGGTTGATGAGGTTATTGTTACTTGTCAGGTTTCTTGTGTGTATTGTGTGCTTTCATTAATTTTTAATTATGCAGCTTTTGCATACCCAGCCAATTTGAATGAACAAGCTAAGCTGGACAGGTCAATGTCTATACAGACTTTTAAAAATCTGTATTTTAGTTATACATTGGTCTTATTAGCAGTAAAGCTTTGGCTGAGGAACAAAAAATTTAAAAAATGCTTTCATAGACTTAAGAAAGGAAGATTTGTTCCAACAATGCAAATTTAAATTAAGAAAAAAGGACAATTTGAAAGCTATGTATCTATATACACAGCAGCTAAATCAGCACACTTCCTCTGGGAGAAGGGTTAGGAATCTTGGGTGTTGTGGTGGAGTAATTTGGGATTTGCAGGGAATAGGAAAGAATTTGAACGAACTTAACTCCTACAGGAAGAGAGATGCTCTCAGCAGAACTTCCTCAGAAGTCAGCTTTCCACTAACACAGAAGCTTCAAGGTCTGCCAACAGGGAATGAACAGAGGTAGAAGGTGAGCAGGAACTCAGATGGAGTGTGGTCTTAAGCAGTATTTGCCTTCTCATTAACTCTGCTAGCTACCTCTTAATTTCCTGCCCATTTCTATAATTCACTCAGTTCCGTGCCAAAATTTCAAGTTGTTTTGCCTCAGCTCTGAGGTAAAAGTAGAACCTATCATAGGACCTTCTTCCTTGTTCTTTGCCTTTTCCTTGTTCTGACCGCTCTTCTAGAACTAGGGAAACCTCAGAAAAGAGGGTGGGTAAGTTTTTGGGGCACTGTGTCCTGCATGCTTCCTGGATTTTCAGGTCTGATACGCAAGAGGAAGTGGTTAGCAACTGCTCCTCAGTACTGTCCACAGTACTAACTCCACATCCAGAGAAAATTGAGCTGCTTTTGCAAAGACAAAGTTTTTCATCCTCCATTTCAGAAGGATATTTTGGAGTCTTTTCAGTCTTGACAGACTGAACAAGGTTCAGTGGTGAGGTCTGGGGGTTTTTTGTTCATTTGTTTTATAAAATCATTTTCGCCATGCTTGGAAATAGCTCAGCTTTCTAGCATATATAGCATATTCTGTCCATGTAACTGATCTCTAAACAGCACCCAACACTGCGCTATGCTTTGTTTCACTTAAAGGGACACTGTAAGGTAATGCCAGCGATTTTATTTGAACTTCTGTATATTGTTCTGATGTTGGAGGGTGTATTACTGCCAAACCTGATAGAACAGCAAATCACCTAATCAAACCAAAGGAGAGGTGGGAAAACAGGGACTCTTCCTCTCTTGCTACCTACCCTTTAAGCAAGGAGGAAGAATCAGAACTGAAGGTGGGAGGGCATCTTCTCAAGAGGACAATACCCAATATTATGAGTAAAATCAAATACCAGTTTATATATTATGGAACACAATGCTAATCACTTGGAGGATACCTGAGGGTAATTGTGTTCTCTCCTCTGAAGCACCACCAGCAAACAGTATTTCCGTGGCAAGAACGGACTGCCAACAGAGAACAGACAGGTCCTATCTTTAAGGTCTCGGTCAAGCTCCGGATCATCTACATAGAAGGAGCTATCAGTTACACTACCCTCTGTGCCTGCTTACCTGTCAGTCATACCCTAGACAAAATTTGGGTCTATTTTGGCATCCCTTGCCAAAACCCTGCCAAACTGTTTAGTTTTAATTCTTCATCTCCTTTCAGGCCACCTCTGTGCAATGAAAGCATGGAAGTGATGTTTCAACCACCTGACCACTCCAGAAGTAAAACTAGTCAGTATTTCGGAAATATTGTTGATCCAATTTAACATTTGTTTACAAGGCAGTTTGACTCAGGCATATGCCTGTATACTCAACATAAGCAGGGATTCACTCATGCAATTCAAACCTTTCACTGATGCAACTAGCAGACTGCTGTAAAGCTATTAAAGCTGTTGACATTATTATTAATTAGGGTTCCTGGCATATCAGAGCAAGTAACCTTTCAGTGATGTCTGGATGATCATGTCTCTGCTTAGAAATATTCTGACAATCCTACAGCTGCTTTCCCATGCTGCTTCGCACTCGCTTCTGACTTCTCAGTCTGCTTACCTATGTGTCTCCATCTCCGAGGTCACAGTAACCAGATATTGCCTCCCTATTTTATTGCTGGCAGGCAGTTAAACTGTCCCTTTGCACTCTGATTCTTCTAGGATCAAAGTACTTTGTAAGTACGTTGACCTGGCTATGGCTAAGTGCATGGCCTGCCTGCTCACTGTGTCTCCAAACCATGTTCTGATCCTGGACCTTGCTGCTTTCTTTAGAAGAAGGTGAGAAGTAGGGGAAGTCATGGATCCAGGTACAGAAATAGTAATATATTTGAATGAAATCTCACAATAGTGATTGAGCAGGGCTCACATTCAAAAGAACTACTCGCTATATAAATGCTGTACCGAGTTCACACGAGGAATATCCTGCAAAAATTGGTGGTTTTAATTTTCAGGTTGCTGCTTAGCTACAAAATTCTTTATTATTAAAAAACCCTAAATATAATTTAAATATTTATTTATTAAGTCATACAGATATGTCAGGGCTTTCTGAAAACCCAAACCTTTATATTACTTCCACTTTTTGCCTGGACCGAAGGGGGAGGAGCATTTAAGGAATAGCTGAAGTCTAGCCCGATTTCATCTTTCACAAGGCCTTTTTGACCTTTACTATTAACTGTGCCTTTCCAGGTGTCCTTGGAATGAGCATCTGAAGAACATTTCCCAATATTGATGTTATAAATCTGCCAGTACAACTTTCAGTTTTGCCCCTAGTTTTTCACTGCATTTTCATTATTTTCCAACTATATAACGACGATTTGGAAGTATTTTGTCACTGTTCTCTTCCAAAACTGCATTTAATTGCTTTCCAGTTTTTTCTTACCTTTCCTCTTCTGGTATCCAGCCTCAATGCTTAATTACTTTTACAGATCTTATAGAGCCTACCACATAAAATCATGTTGCCTCTCTTATCTCCAGCACCCACACTAATTCTTCCTTCATTCTTTTACACACCACAATCTTCATCTGGCCATTTCACCTTCACCTTTCCTGCCATGTGTCCAAAGTACCATTTTAAAAGCAGCCCTCTCTAGTCCAAATAGATGACCTTCCCTGAGTTTGCTTCCTGTTT